ATATTCCCTCCCCACCCCAGGCCAAGTGGCAGAACCAGGTCTTCAAAGCCCTCCAAAAGGCCAGGAGTGAGGGGGCCAATCTCACTGCCGGGGACAGAATATTCCAAAGAGCGGGGGCTACCACAGAGAAGGCCCACCTTCTGGACCCCGCTTATCAAAGTCCTTTTACTGCAGGGGTCCGAAGCATGCCCCCTCTGTGTGATCGAGTGGGATGGGTTGAAATCATGGGGAAGAGGTGGTCCATTAGGTAACTTGGTCCTATGCCATGTAGGGCTTTAAAGGTGATAACCAACACCTTGAATTGGACCCGGAAGCAAACTGGTACCCAATGCAGCTCGCAGAGCAACGGCTTTACATGGGACATTCTTGGGGCTCCAAAAATAGCCTGTGTGGCTGCATTCTGGATCAGCTGTAGCTTCTGGATACTGTTCAAGGGTAGCCCCATGTAGAGTACACTGCAGTAGTCTATGACTGATACCTTCCAGAGTAAAAGTATAATTTATGTCTTTTCGATTTCACAACCTCCATTTATCTGTCAATACCTATTCATCCATATATTGGAATACGTTTTGCAGAAGCTTTCCTTCTTTCCTCCCTTGAAATGATCTGTCCAAATCTAACAATCCATTCATATCTCCAAGGAAAAATATTTTGCTTTCTTCAACTTCTATTAACATTTGGAAAAATCTTTTGTAGTGTTAATTGCTGTTCATACCCAGCGTCATATGTCAAGTGGGCAGTCATACAAATAAAATAAAATTATATAAAATAAAATAAAGCACATTATGGTTTATACCAGCTGAAAACAAGAATTTTCTCCTGATAGTGTTTAATATATTAGGAGTTGCCCATATTTAAGTATCATTCCTACTTTCTTACAAATTCAAGATTCTTTAACATTTCTGACTCTGGTTCAGATTTTTTTTTTTTTAAATATCTTGTTAAAGTTGTAAGTACATAATTACCTGGTTTGGTGTTAATACATTAAATCAGAAATGGATACTGAGCAATAGGAAGAAATAACACTTTATTTTCTTTGCACTAAAATCAGTAAAAGAATAAAGGAACAAATCCTCCATTTCTCTTACCAATTGTCTTAGCGTATCTTCCTATCTAAATATTTTGCTCTAGTTTCCAGGTACTACAAAGTCAAGAAAGAAGGTCAGATTTTCCATACTTATAGCTCTCTGAGAATGGAGCACACAAAGGTGGTAATGGACAACAATTAATTGAAGTTAATGTTTCTCCCTTGGTTTATTTTTTGTATTTCCTAATGTAATGCTACCACCATAATTTAGTCTACAAATTACATAATAGAGATAATGCAGCACAAATGATATATTTACTAGGGCTATGTAAAACTCTGAGGAGATTATTTGTTCCACAGGTGACTCAAGTGACCATTTTAACTGAATTTCTGGCCTTTCAGAACTCTGTTCATGTACGGAAACTTCTCTAAGATCACTGCTGATGTCTTTACTCTTTGGCATTGTGCTAACACACACACCTCAATACTCAAGACCAGCAAACTTCTAAAACTTCGGCTTTTATAGAGGTAGTCATACTTGCTGATGATCAATTGATCAAGGGCATTTGATTAGCA